CCCATCGCACTCCCCCACTGTCAGCTTCAAGGCTCCCTGCTGGTGCAGCGTCTTTAAGGCTTTGAACTCCAAGGGCATGGTGTGCGGGCTGGCCTGCGAGGTGTAGCCGTACTTCAGGCTGTCGTAGTAGTGGTACTTGACTGGGTTCTGGTTCTGGTCCAGGGGAAAGGGCCAGAAGCCGTAGAGATAGATCTGGTTGCAGAATCGAGTGGCTAAGGTGTACATGAGGAGGCCGGTGGTGGGTCTCTTGATGTGCACCTTGTTCGTGAGCCAGTACCTGCAACGGGAGAGTAAAGAGTGTTATTTCCTGCCTCCCACGAAGCTTGTGTCTTGCACATTTTCTCTTTCTAACCTTTGACTGAGATATATTGGTAATTCAAAGTGAGAGGTTTCTGACTAGCAGAAGAGTTCTCCATGCCAAGAAAAAGGCTCTCTAGGGATTGCTTCATGAATAAGCATCCTCCTGCTCTCTGTCTGGCAGTTACATCACACTTGTTGCTATGGCATTGGAGCATCTCATACCTCGGCAATCCTTTATGAAAAACAAATTGCTTGCAACGCTGGCCTTCAGTACTTCAGCCTACAATTATCTTCCAATCAACCTCAGAGATCAATACCACAGACCAAACCATCTACATGTCAAGTAGACTCCAGCAACCCCTCGAAGCAGACACTCTCACACATAAGCTGATGATTTTCATTGACAACTGAAGATTTTTATCTGACAGTAAACACAACAGGGCCGTAAAAACATTTGCCTTGAACTAAAGGGTCACCAGACTGAACGAGCTAAGACACACCGCTGTGTTCCCGTTACACCCAGCAATTGCTGCTGTGATCCTGGACCAAAATACATCACCACGCTCTGCAGCATCAGTCCAGGAGATGCACAATATGGCATGTTTCAATATATAACGTGCGATACGGAGGTCAGCTGTGCTCGCTGCTGAGGAGTGCGTTAGTTTTGATGAGAAATGGCCAAAAGAAGAGGGGGAAGAGACACCCTGCAGTGATGCACGAGCAGAAACAGTATCAACAGTTGTATTTTGGGCTGCCGATAAAAGTTATTGCAGCATCAATATCCTGTAAGAAAATGCTTCCAGCGCCCAGTGTTTATTGCACAGGCAATTTATCTGGTTTGCTCAGCAGAAAAACACTGTCAGAGGAGCAATGTCAGAAAGCAAAAGGTCTGGAGGAGGTAGAAGATATCCCCCTTGGGTCCACTCCCTCCTCCCCAGCATGGCGGGTGGGGATGGCGCAGGCAGCACATCCCACCACGTCACAGCCCATTCAAGCCCTCGGATTATTTTTAACAGATATTTCAAGGGACCTGAGTTCAAGTGAGCGACCAGCAGCTTTGGATAGAAAGCACGCAGAAGCGGAGCAAAGCACATGGCATTTCTGTGCTCTCACCCAGAAGTTTGGGATCCTGAGCTGGGTCCCATTCCTGCACACGGAGCCACGGGAAGTGTCTTCCTCCTCATTCACACTTTCTGCCTGGCTCCTGAGGGTCTGGCACTCAGACAGCGGGAACCCTTGGGAGAGTGGAGCCTTAATCCTGCAAATTAGCTTTTCACGAAAGCCATTAAAATTTAGCAACCAAGGCACAAAACGTACTTGCTTGTTCTCAGCCAGATAAGAGAAAAATTGACTTTTCTGGTGAATCAAATTCTGGAAGCAGAGTGACTGTCTCAGCACGTGCAGGAAGGGCACAGCAGAGTTTACTGGGGTCCCACACCCCAGGGGTGTCCACATGCCTGTAGCTTCAACAAAAGACAAGTACAATGTTTTGGGGAGGTCCTCTTTGTCTGACTCATCTCCTCAGCATCCAGCATGAAAAAGGACCAAGAAACTGGGGGAAAACTGGTGAGACCCAGTATCTCAAAAGCACAGCATTAGCATTTTGTGGGCTTGCCCAGCCATACAGGTTGTGCTATGGGGACACAGCAAAGCTCCCTGTGGTTGGTGCCAAGGCAATCTTCTCCCACAGGTAGTCATAAAACACCCTCCGTGATGAGTTTATGGGTAAGCACATTAAACCCAGGAGGCGGAGAGAAATAGGAGATTATCACAACCATTTAACACTGTGAATTAGGGGATCCTAATGCAGCAGGGAAACTACCTGGGAAGAACTGTCAAGCCACCTTAACCAGCTGGCTTTGGGGGAAGACAGCTGTCTGGTTTGTCCTGTAGCTGCTTTAGCCTTAAAACTCTCCTTCTATCAATTTACCAGCTGGAGCACAGAAAGATACTGGTGACCTTGTACCTGTCCAAAATATTAACTTCCAGGTTTTGTTGAGAATCCATAAAACCTCTATGAATGTATGACAACCTCGACAGCATGACGAAGTGACCCGTGCACATGGGTACAGGACATTCATGTGATCACCGATGTTTCAAGTGTATTAATGATGATAAAAATGACCTGGGTCAAACACAGAAGCACCCTACAGAGGCATGCCATCCTCTCCAACCCAGCATGCATGAACAGCCTCACCAAGACCAACAAGCGTGTGCAACCAGCACCCAGAAGCAGCCCTATGAAAACCAACCCAGCGTATCCACCTCAGCACACACAACTAGGGAGCACTGACTCCATAATACCAGGGTAGGGAACAATGACAATTCATTTTCTTAGAAAAAAAATTAAATACCAGGCTCTTTAATCTGTATTTCCCTTTACTGCAGGCATGGCATTGTGAAAACTAGAAGGATGACAAACGTCGCTCTTACAGCATAATAAATTCTCACTGCTGGCTGCAGCTTTGGGAAGGGGTGACAGACTCCAGGCTGTCCCAGCCCACCCTCACAGGTAACATACATAATATATAATGCCCAAACCATAATACAGGCCATGCCACAGCACTTGCAATTTGTTTCCTGGACAGCGAAGGTGGCAATCTTCTGGTGAGATCTGGGGAATACTTTTTAATGACTGGTTTGTGATGGAAGTGTGGGACCTGTGCACGAAAATCTCCCTCTTATCTCTCCCACCACTGGCCAACTGAGAGTGGCCACGTTCCTGGTGCAGGAGAGAACAGCTGGGGATGGAAATAAAACCTAATTAATTCTGTAAATCCAAATGAGGTTGTCTGGGCGCACACGGGATGCTGTGTCAACAGCGCACCTTTAATATGTGAGGTCTGGGATTTTAATTAGGAGGAAAGATAATCTTGAAGCAGGCAGTAATTATTTTTCAAATTGGCTACACCAATCACCATAACTATTAACTGCAACATTTTATGGAAAGAGATAGCAATTAAAAGAGAAGAGCAAAGAGCGGTCCTGAAACCCAATATCTCCTTTCTCAGAGCCGTTCTCGCAGCACGGACCTCTTTCAAAAGCTGGTGCTGTGTTGTTTCTGTAAATAAACCCTCAGGGGTGGAAGCAGACACAGAGATAGACTGGTGCCTGAGCGGGATGCAGTTATGAACAGGAACCGTGATGCTGTCAGGCAAAAATTGTCCAAGACAGCTCTTGTTTTGGATCATGATAGTGACAGATGGAAAATGCCATCAGATCTTCAAGGCCATCTTTTGTAAGGAGGCAGCCTAGACACAAGCCCTACCACAAATTTGAACTAATACTTGATAGTAGCCAAGGACAAAGGCTTCAAAACCACCAGATCAGAGAGTCTCATCCTAGCTGGTTGGCAGTTCTGGTTGCTCCTCAGCAACATCAATTTTCCAAAAGGTTTACAAGAAACTGAAGAAGTCTCCTCAGCAGAACTGCATAGCAATGCTGCCAGCTGCCTGGCCATCAGAGTGTGTGCCTCCTGCGAGGGGGCTGCACTGCACCACGGGGGTACCGACCACTGTATATGGACCTTAAAGCCCAGTGGGAATCCTTCAGGAGACAAAACGCCCCAAAACTGCCCCTAGGAAGCTACAACTCCCACCCGAGCCAGGGAAGGTGACAGCCTCCACACTGTATATCTGGAGCATTCCAACCACGTTCATCCTCCCCCAGCATCACCAAATTCAGGGAGCAGAGCCTGGCCTTGATTTGGGCTGAAACGCTGGGTGTGAAACACCTCCCTGCAGGCAGTGTTTGAGGACAGCAAGGGCAGGGTCCAGCTCTGTGCTTACCCATCACCTCCTGAAAGTGTCTGAGAAAACCCTCAACTAACTTGTACCCTCCAGGTAAGGGTTAATCTGCAGGCTAAAATGAACAGAAAAAAATCAGGCCAATGAAGAAATCAAGTTTCAGCGGTATCAGCTGCCTTATTTAGTGATAGAAATCTGAATAGCTGAAATAATGCAGTTTCAAACCCTTTTTAAAACAGCTTATTCATAAAAGTGCGATACAAACACAAGCTGCTGTAGAAGTGCTAGTCCTTGACTGTCAGAAGCATATTATCAGTCTGTCACACACATCCTGCCCCCATTAATACTCATGAAAAACCAGCTACAGATAATCAGAGCAAGTGCCCCAACAGTGCCCTGCACTCAGGTTGATGGAGGTGAGGACAGGACCTACCAGAGCTGGTAGGGCACAGCATGTATCTCAGCTGCTGGGTGGATGGAGATGAAGTGTTGGAGCCCAGGGAGCAACTGCTATCCCCCATCCAGCTTCTCCCAGCCCTTTTCTGTCCATGTATCCAGTCTCCTCAGTCACCTCCACCAACACAGCCAAGAGCCATGTACAGTGATGAGAACTGTGCTGGACTGGTAGGAATGGGCAGGTCCCTGTCCAGATTCATACTAATGCTGACTCCAAAAACTGGATCTGGAATCAGAGTTGGGCTTTATCCCTAGGCTGGGCAAAGCCCAAACACCAAATCAAGCTTCTATATCCAGACTGGATCTGTACCATGTGCTTTGGGTCTTGGTGCAAGTAAATCAACACTGAGTCATGGATAAATAACTGTTTTCTTCTCCAGGTCTTGAGTTCTGTGATGCCCTTTCAAACACACATGGTACTCAACACCCACAAGTTAAAGCATTTCCAAACAGACAGAAGAGGAGGAAAGTAACTGGGAAGAGGATCATCCTACTTCTTTCCCCTTTCCTTCCTATGCCTCTCTCCTTCTGACAAAAAAAACCCAAACTAAATCTTCCCAACTAACCAGAACAAATTAACTGTCTTGGGGTTCCAGTGCAGACACACCACAGCTCAGGTACAACATGCCTCAAGAGCAGGAGGTACGAGAATAAATGCTCACACAAAGATTTACTTGTGGGATATCCACTGATCTAACCCACACGTGGCTTTACAGGGCGCCTGTACTTCCCCACATTCTACCCCAGTGACACACTTGTGAAGGGCTATTTCCACCCCCTACACCTTCTGGTCATCTTCATCCTTCACTTGAGTGCAGGATCACTGTCCTTAAACCTCCTGTGGGAGCAGAGAGGAAGGGTTTTAAGGCATGAGACCCCAGGGGCAGACCCTTCAGGGGAAACTCTAAGTGTAGGGGACCATAAGGGAGGAAGCTTGAAGCTGGTTTAGAAACTCCACAACTGGGTGACATTGGCTAATCAACAGCAGAACCACCTCAACATGGGGAGTGAGAAAAGACGAGCCTGTGGAGGGATGCAAAAGAGCACAGTGATGTGATCAAAGCAACAGGTTATGAGAATAACCTGCACACGTGTGTCCTGCATGGCTACAAGCAAGGCAAGGCTGTTGGAAAAGATGCGGCATAATCGGGACACCAGGAGAGGAGGGACCAGGAGGGTTTCCACCACAGCTCACAGATGAGAAAGGCAGTGTCCTAGCAGCATTGCTCTGAAAAATCAACACAGGTTTAGGTGTTGTTTGGGTGCAAGGACCCAGAGAGACACCTGAGGCAAAGACAAATCCATCTTGTACCCCACCAGGTTGCACTTCTGAGGATACATGGCAGAGCTGTGCTATGCAAGCTATGGACCTTGAGCAAGGCAATAACTGGTGTGAAGAGCACGCGTGAACTGTCATGGCTATTTGGATGTTAAACCTAATGGCAGACCTAGCCAAGGAGCTGGAAGATGTATTGATTTTTTAATTTCTTTTTTTCTTCTTTCAAGAAGCTCTTAACAAAATCTTATGGGATTATACTGGGTTACTGCCAAAAGATCCTCATGATGGACACAGTGAGAAGTGCCAGACTAGATTACACAAGGCAAACTGAAAAGTGTCCATGAATTCTCCACAAGGAGCAATAGTCAAACCTCCAGACACAATTATTTTCCCTTGCTTCCTGCATTTCATGTTATTTATTTGACAAAAGCTGCTTGGCAATAGGGATTACAAGGCTTTTTGGAGACACTAACAGATGACTTATAAGGGCCTTGCTTGCTTCCCAGCCAGGAACAAGCACTACACTCTCCAGATGAATTGCTCAGGAGATCATTTAGAGAATTGCTCCAAAGTGAGTCACACACCCCCAAAATGCACAGCAGCATCCCCATAAACTGGCTCCTGCCACGGCACAGCTCTCCTCCTCATCCTTAGCTAGAGACTCGGCTTCCTTCTGAGCTCCTCCATCGAAATGCTGCTGGCTCTCTCCCCTCCTGGCGTGAAGATAGGGAGTTTAACTGCATAAGAAAAGCTTCCATCCTGTTGCACAGATTATCCAGAATCATCAACACAAACAGCTATCAGCAAACATTTAAGGCACTCTCACAGCTAGGAAGGTGATGCCTCAAATGATGCTGTTGAGGACAACAAATCCAAATGCCTTTTACTTATCTCAGCAACGCACGCTCTACAAATACCCCAAATGCACTGAAAATTATAGGAAAAAATGCTCAATCGCCACTGAAAGGCATTTTGGTCTGGGGGAAAGTAGAGCAGGACAATACTGTGGTTCAAGGAGGAGTCAAGAACTCAGAAATGTATTTCACTGGAAGTGAAGGAAGAAGAGAAAAGGCAAAGCTTTTGTAGTTGAATTGAAGTTGGCTGAGATAACATTAATCTTTGTAGAAAGTGTCATTCCTTAAAAAAACCAAATATATATATATATATCTATATTTCTATCTATATATATATAAAACAGTGGCTTGGCTGAAAGACTTCCCCCATTTCTTTGTGATTTCCAAATCACCTTCTGTTATAAAGGGTAGCTTTATCCAGCAAAGGAGAAGACAGGACATATCTGCAACTGCAGCCCACGGTAGCACAGAGAGATATTCTGTGGGGCTCTCTGCGTTATCAATTCTCTGCTGCACGCCACAGGAACAAAATTTACGTGTTTCACAAATTTCACATCTGTCAAAGAAAAGCATAATGCTACGAACCAGCGTGTTCCTCAGAGAGAGCTGGAGAGACAGTTGTTGGAGACCATATCCCTGTAACAGCAAGGAGCTCATAAGCAGAAATATATGATGATCTTAGGAATTAGACACTATCACAGAAGATGAGTAAGTAAAATCCTAGTGATTCTGGTCACTTTGGCCTGAGGAAAAGCTCCTTCCTCATCCCAAACTACATCATATCAATTACCCTAAGCTCATGACAACCCTATAGGTACCTGAGAGACTTCTACATAGCACCAAGAGCATCAGCAAACCCCGCTCCTCAGCTGTGGCCAGTTCATTCAATATTGCCTGAATCATTCCTAAATCCATCCAAGTCCAAACCTGAGGAGATCACACCAAGGAAAGGGTTAACGTTGACTCTAGCCTTCCCCCAGAACTGCTCCTCAGCCCTGGGTGGTCCCTCTGCACAGTTCCTTGGCCAGGTCACAACACACTGGGGAGGTGTTCAAGTGCTCCCATCAGTTCCAGCTAGCTGAAGGGCCTACAGTTTTAATTATATTAATCGTTAATTAGCAGGAAATCCTGCTGATGAGTGTGAGAGCAGGAGGGCAGGTCAGGCAGCAGCTCCCTTGGTTTAGAGGGCAACTCCTGATGAGGATTAGGACTGGTTTCTGTGGTTATAATTGAATTAGTGCTGCCTCAGTGCAGCCACGACCCACCCCACAGCAGTGACCAGCCCAAAGGACAGGACTGAGGTCTCTGCTGTAGCTCAGACCAGGTATTAGAGCCTGTCATCGGCATCAGCCAGTGTCTGACCACGTGCTGGTGCCACATCCGTCCCAGACGCCCACCAACACTGGCTACTTCTCTCACTTACTGGTCTGACTGGTTCCATCCCTCTGAACCCCAGCAGGTTTTCAGAAGCCTGAATGCCATGTTCCTTGCACAGGACCCCATTAAAACCCACAGGAACACTAACATGTGCAAAAGGAGGACATTACTCCAAGCCACACATGAGAAGAGTGCATCACTCCATGCACCAAGAGACAGCTCTAAACCCCTGGGCTTGTCCCAAAATCCCTGCATCCCCTCCAGCCAGGCAGGACTTGCCAGCCTCCAGTGGTGGCTCCAACACTGCTCCATGGGAGAGGCTCAGGGACAGCTGGAGTGCCAGCCAGCCCGGCCAGACCACAGGGCTGCAGCACAAGAGGGCCAGGAGGTTCCATGAGTTGGAAGATAAGCTCAGCAGCAGAGCTTATCGAAGCATCCTCCTCCTCCTCTCCCACAGGAAAGCGATGCCCAGTCCTTGCCAATCCCTCCACAAAGCTTCCTATGGGAAGTTTCTGTCACCGGGAATTGTTGCCAGCACAGGATTAGCAGCCTGTTGATTTAAAGGGCTTATTACAGGAGCTTAATTCTATTTTGACAGATGAAAGTAAGTCAATTACAGCTAGAAATAGCTCAGCATTTGGGTTGTGTGGTTTTGGGTTGGTTTTTTTTTTCCCTTCCTCTCCTCCCTTTCTGTGAGTTGTGGTATCATTTCCTTCCCTTTCTTTATGTCAAAGCCAGCACTTTCAGTAAGATGCCTCTCCAGCCCAGGGAAACCTCAAAGACAGGCACTTGGGGCAGACATGGTTCATTTTGCCCATTATTGTTGCCTGGAATGCACCACACCACCAGAGCCTCCACTCCTCCCAGCCAGCCTGGGCTGCCTGTGGAGCTGCTCTTCACACCCCTCTCCCTGGAGCACCTCCTTAGGCTTGCTCCTGCAGGAAATGACCCCAAAATCCATCCTGTGCCCACCCCCTGCACTGACACATAACCCAGGCTGGGACAAAGCAACACCCAGCATGGCCCAACTGACCAGAGGAGCTCAGGCTCAGAGGTGGGTTGGAGAAGAAGCGCTCAAAGTGATCACGAAACATCAGTGCTGAGGCTTAGAGGTGGGAGCACCAGTTGCATGAGTGAATTCTCATCCCAGGAAAGCATCAGGGTCTAGTCAGGACTGGAGAGGACAATTACTGCCCCTAAGCCATCTCCAGCATAAGCCACATCCTGCCTAGACTCCCCAAATGCCTGATGAATCATAACTCTCCCCACAGAAACAACACAAGAAAACAAAAACCTACACCACTACCAAGCTACTTACACAGAAGTCTCACTCCTCAAGCTCTCTTCCTTTTATAGCCTCCCCATCCCCACCACACCTGTGTCTCCCACACACCTGGTTGCTATGAGAGAGCAGAAAGATCCTTTCCTTCCTTCCTTCCCAGTAAGTCTGTTCACCACCACCTGGCCCTGTTTATCTGACCAGTAGGACCAGACCATGTCAGTCACTTTCCTAGGCTGGTCATTTAAGATGAGTAGTACAATTAACACCACTACAGGAGCATGGAGGTGACTTGTGAAAAGCCCTTGATTTTCTGCTGAGCCCATCCAGCAGGTTGCCATGAGCAACCTGACCTGAGGAGCTGTGAGAGACTTGCACGTGTCACTTAAGCACAAAGTGACAAACCTTGTCACTAACTCTGTAGACCACAACACACATTCCTCCAAGGAGAGCCCTTACTGTAGGTTGGGGAGTCATCGTGGTGACATCCAGCCTCACAGCCAGCAAAGTACTGGAAGACTTAGGCTCGTCATATTGCATGGCTAAAAGACCTCATGCTCAACAGAGCAGAATGGGGAGACCCTGCTTGGGAGGTGGTCTCCAGTTCTCATCTAGAGAACAGTCACTGCCTGTGGAGTCCTTCTCATGTTCTGCAGAAAGAAACAGCTCCCACCGCTTGCCTCCAACACAAACCCATTGATTGCTCTCCAGCTCAGGAGGCTCAAGAAATCCTGGGTCCGAGCACACCAGAAATGCTCTCACCCTCGGACAGCATGCAGCAGGCGCAGCGAGGGGTAGGCAGTCCTGACGTTGATGTGATGCTTCAGGATGAGCTCGTTCACCCACTCCACTCTCTCCTTGCCCCCCTTGGCCATGAACGCCGGGATCCAGAGGATGCTGCCATTGAGGCTGTGGAGGCGTTGCAGCAGCTTCTCCCTCCAAGTCTCGTTCACCAGGTCCTCGAAGGCCCGTTGGATGACCGAGGGGTTCATAGTCACCAGGTCCGTCTTCATGCCCACGTCCTGTGAGTACTCCTGGACAGGGGCCAGATTGCACCTGTGAGAGGAAACACCAAATAGCCCTTTACAACGGACATCAGAGTGGGCAGTGACAAACACGAGGGGTGTTTGATGCCAAAAGCCAGGGCCAGTGACAGATGTGGCCCTTCCCCTTTGCTTTTGGGAGGAAGAGGAGAGAAGAATGAGTCTCTGCAATAAATTTGAGAGGCTCTGACCTGGTCATGATGAACCATCTTAATATCAGGTCATCATTCCTCAATGTGCTGGCATGTGCACGCAGATTCCCCCGGGGCAATGCTAATAACAGACATAACTTTGGTGTCTGGTGGGTGGGTTGGTACGGATCAGTATCTTTTCTGGTGTGGTTCAAAAATAACACGTAGCAACAAACCGCCCATCTTTGCTGCCATGGTAGATCTTAAATGAAACAGCCTTTCCTGTGCAAGGAAAATGCTTGCTTCTTAATTCTAGCCTTGCTGGGGTAATATTATCCCAAGTCCTTTTTCTCCTCCTGGTGAGTCTCTGCTAACAGCAGACCTGGTGGCACCAGCAGCGATAATGACACCAGTAAGAGGTAGATGCCAGGACATGGTCTCCACAGATTTTGGCTGTCTGGAGGTTGTGACCTTCAAAAAACCATCTCTTTCTGTAGTATTAATTGGTGCCTCCTCTCATGCAGATATTGGCACACACTCCTCTGGGAGCTCCCATGCCATGAGCTCCTGTGTCACGCCAGGGATGAGGGGCTGCAGGATAAACTGCCAACAAATCACCCTCGTTTTATGGTGGTTTCCTACAGCTCCTTGAGGGAGGATCCACAGCCGTTAAGCCATGGCCATGCCATGCACATGGTGCTGAGAAAACAGCACCAGGGACCAGCTGATGGGGAGATGCAGAGATGTTCCCCCAGCATGGTGAAAACCAGAGGGTACTTGTGTGTTCACACACTGTGTGCTCTCCTGCAGCGTTTTACAGTGAAGTTACGGTATTTAACGAGCAGGAATTGCACCCAAAACCATCTGCTTTGACAATCAGCTGTTTTCCCTACTTTACAGATGGGGAGACTTAAAGGAATGTTGTAAAGAAAATCCAGCTCCTGGCACGCAGGGCCCTTCTGATCCACTGACTGAAAATGAACATTGGATCTGAAGGGTGACGTTGTATCCTGGACACAAAGCCCATCGCTGGTCACTGCCAACCCTGCTGAAAAGGCTGCCTGGGTGGAGCAAACCTTCTTCAGGAAGATGCAGGTTCAAGTGGTGGCTTAGATAACCTTTGGTGGGAAGAGCATGTCCATGCCAGACCTGCACAAGCATACAAAGCTGGGGAGGAGTTGCTCAGAATGCAAATCCTGATGCCCACAGAAGCTTTTCTCCTGCAACTTTGCTGCGTGACTTGAAAGCCCCTCCCTAAATTTTGCCAGAACTGCAATAAGCAATTCCTCCCTTTGCTCGCTCTGGTCACACTTAAGGATGGAAACGATAATGCCCCGTCCCCTGCGGACACGACGGAGCTGCTAGCAGCCAGGCAGGCTGGAGCAGCCGAGCTTGAGCAGGGGGCAGAGGTGACATTATCCTTGCTCCCACGTCATGCCGAGGACCAGCTCTGTGAGCTGCTGATGGATTGGGCTGTCTTCATAATAGACTCACCAGAAAGCAAATGTCTGCGTGTACATAAATCATCAGCAGAATCTTACAGCCCCTCAGCTAACAGCCGTACCGGGGCGTCAGGGGTGGGAGGGCAGGTCTGCTCCTCCTCTTCACTTCAAACATGTCCTGCAGCAAATTTGGTGTGTGCCCCAGTGGGGTCAGGATCTGCTGCAGCAGGTCCATAGGGCAGTGCATCTGCAGGGACATCAGTGCTGGGGATGGAGTGGTCACAGGGGAACGTCAGATCCAGGTGTGCACAAGTGTGGTGCCAGGACATCGCGTGGTGCATCCACTGCTCAGGGCAGCAGTGACTTCGGGAAGGATCGAGCTTGTGTCCATGGGAGAGTCCAGGACAGAGTTTATTTGCAAGAGGATAAGTATGTGGGAAAAGAGGAGGGACTGCTTGGGACTGGGGGGTTATCGGTGCCCTGGGGTTTAAGAGCACACCGTGAGAACTCATGGGGTGCATTTGGAAGGACAATGGGGAGCACTTGGTGGTTAGTAGAAGAGTTGGCAGCAGGATGTTCACATCGGTGAACTCTACGGGGCTGCAATGCTGTGCTGTACCACATGGACTGGGACTCCAGCCTCTTTCCACCTCTCCAAACTCTCCCCAACCCCCCCCAGCCCCACGGTGCCGCAGGGTGTGGGTCTCTACCTTATGACGAAGCTATGTGCATCGATCTCGGGGCCGCAGCCGCTGCTGAGCAGGACCCCCGAGTTGCCCACAATGGCACAGGTGGGGAACTGCTTGCCCTTGAGGGGCGAGGTGCGGGGCAGCAGCTCGTACAGGTTCTGCGAGACGTTCATGGTGCTGTCCCTGTCAAAAACGTAGTGGATGATGTCCCCCGGCTTCAGCGTCCCCTTCAGCACTGAAATGTCCTTCTCTGCATCCAGGAACTTCAAGATCTGTTTCCTGAAGACAGGGAAGAAAACAGCTCCATCAGTGAAGTACAGACATTACCTGGGTCATATATAAGATGAATCCTTGCCTCCTGGCTACCCTTGCTCTGTGGCCAGTCCATCTGACTGATGTTCTCCAGGAACAGCTTACAAACAGATATCTCCATCTTAACACCCACTCCTTCTCCACCCATCCCCTCCCAGGGCAGGACCACCATTAGTCAGGGGTCCCTGCATTTACCCTGGGAAGAGGGTCTCCTTCTCCCCTCCGTGACCCACCACCAGTGCACACTAATTCCACTTGGCCTGGAAAATGTGGGCTCAAGGGCTCCTTGTTTCGTTGTTGCAAGGCCAGCTGGTTCAGCTGGGAATTCATTTCCGAGTGATCGCTTACAGATATGAAGCCTAGCTCAGCAGGAGATAAGCCTTTTATTTCTTCCTCAACTTCTTTAGATGATATAGAGAGGCAATTTGCCAGCTTGCACTGGAGAGGACCAAATCTGTCTCTTGTCCTATAGGTAATTACCAGTACCTGATCTTCAAAGAGAGTGTCTGGTTGTGTCTCCATTTGGATGAGGCTGGTTTAATATTGTGCTTAATGCTTTCATTACTTCTGTCAACAACAGCTGGAGACGAAGAGTCATTTATTACTACTTCAGCTCTAGAGAAAAGAAAGACAGGGAGAGGGAGAGAGACAGGATCCGTTAACATCCCAATGGCACTTCTAATCACCATCTTTGGCTTTGGCTGCTGGAATTCAAACTTCATCAGAAAAGCAAAATTGTAGTTATTAGCTAAACAAGAACTGAAAGCCTGTTTGTCTTCTGCTACACTTAGACAGACACAAATCCTCAAATACCTGCTGGCTGACACGGACACAGATTTACAGCCAGGCACAGCTCTACAGAAAACACAATCTTACACATCTAGCTGTGGACAGGCATGCACATGGTAACACAAGCAGGCTGGTAGATGGACACTTGCAGACAAGACACCCCAGAGCCCTGGGAAGCCCCCAAAATTCACTAAGACATTTTCTACAAGGGCAGCTGGGGTTGCTGCCCTGCTGCCTTGCGGTCACCAGCTCAGCTCCTGCAGAAGGTTAATATCCTCCCTGAGGAGAAGGACTTGCGGGTGCTGGTGGACAAGAAGCTCAACATGAGCCAGCAATGTGCACTTGCAGCCCAGAGGCCAATAACCGTGTCCTAGGCTGCACCCAGAGCAACGTGGGCAGCAGGTCGAGGGAGGGGATTCTGCCCCTCTGCTCCGCTCTCCTGAGACCCCACCTGCAGTGCTGCCTCCCGTTCTGGGGCCACCAATAGCAGAAGGACATGGACCTACTGGAGCATGTCTAGAGGAGGCCACAAGGATGATGCGAGGGC